GTGATAGCCGGCACAGTGACCATTGCAGACAGACGCACCTGCACCACTGGGCCTCTTGTGACCTGTAAAACCAAACAAAGTCATCTGAGAAGAAAGATTATGGTGTTGCTGATAAACCACTTTTCAGAAATGGCACAGCAATAATGACATGATTTGTGCACGTCTTTTTATGCCCAGGTGTACCTGTATTGACATGACAACTTGTGTGTCCCCCATCTTCAGGTTGGATCCTTGGGGGTCAAATTTGACTGCTAAAGTCTGTGTCTCTCCGCAGGGCAGGTTTTTCACTCTTTTCAGTTCTGTGCTGAATCCTTTGAAGAAGCAACATTTGAGGAATTACTTTAGAGAAATTCAAAAACAAAAAAGCCAATTGAAAACACAATGATTTAAAACAGAAAACAGGCACAATATAGAGTTGTGCAGTGATGACTTCTTTTTGTAGGCCGCCCCGGAAGCATAAACAAAGGGTTCTTTCCACAAAAAGCGAAGGCAATTTTCCAATGAACTTTTGAAAATTGCCAAAAATAAGCTTTGAGGTGAAATGAATTTGCCAGGGGGTAAATATTAAATGTGATTTCAGATTTCAGAAGTCTCATTTAGTCTCTTAGCAACCTCAGTTTTTCTGAGGAACATTCAGGACTGGGGTATTTACTGAAGCATTTGATTAAAATCTCTTGAGTTGACCTCAGACCTAGTTTCAGGCATCGTACCAAAAACAATTTTATAAAACAGTTGACTTTAAGATAAGGAAACCAGAAGTGTTAAAATGCTAACTCACCACTCCAATGCCCTTTGAGACATTTTATTTAGTTCCATCAGTTATTCATTACATTTTATTCTACTATCACTTCAAGACAGGAGATAATCCGCTCATCTCATAAGATAAGATAAGATGGTACTTTATTGATTTTTAATTTTTTGTGTTACAGCAGCATAACATTTACCCACACAGGAATTCTTAATCCTTTTATTATTTTATTTTGTTGGCTTTCTTTGTTCTACTGTGCTCAAATGTGTCCTCTTTCTTCCCTTCCTTGTCTCCCCCCGGATAAGTAATTTTATTCAACGGGAATAGTGTACATACAAAAAGGATTTCTATAGTGACGTCTAACAAGGCAAAGTACGATGAAATAAGTTAAGTATTACACCTCCTATCCTACTGGCTTTTTTGCGGCGATGATATAGTTGCACGACTCTACTCCTTTGAACCTTCCCAATTAACGAATTGTTTACAGGGGTCAAATATCCTGGAGTTAAGGACGTTGGTGAGATAAGATCGAACCCTTAGTGCTGTTCCCTATAAGTTTTAACAGTTAAATAAGGTCATCTTTAACTATCGTAGGTCTAAAACTAAGACAAGAGGATACACACCAGCGTCTAATTTTACCCGAGACAGAGTCCTTTTATCTAAACCTCCTTGGAACTCATAACAAGAGAGACTACTCGACCGACAAATTACGAATATATTCGGAAGTTATGAACAAACATTGAAAAGTCACAAATACATGGGGAGGAAGGAGAGGGGGGAGCGAAAAGAGAGGAAAAGGCGACCGGAGGTCATACTTCTCGACGAAGGTGTACCTCTAACTCTCTCGCGACCAGTTGTGTCTTACGAGAGCGACACTGGCCTTCCGGACGTCCTCGCGTTCTTCTGGAGTGTTCCGAGGAGTCGGTCTTTCACCGTGTTTGAATCAGGGTCATTCAAGTGTGTGTGTGTGTGTGTGTGTTGTGTGTGTGTGTGTGTGTGTGTGTGTGGTGGGTGTGTGTGTCTGTGTTGTGTGTGTGTGTGTTGGGTGGTGTGTTGTGTTTTTTGTGTGTGTGTGTGTTGTGTGTGTGTTGTGTGTGTGTGTGTGGGGTGTGGTGTGTGTCTGCTCTTTGTCTAAACCTAGTGGTGACCCTAAGCCTGGTTCTAATCAACATCTTAATACTATCTCAAAATCCGCAATGTGACTCGTAAAGTGAACCCTGCTAATAAACAAAATATAGACTACGAACACGTACTACTACATGTCTCACGTACCCGTCAATATTAAGGTTTTAATGAGTCTGAAATGATTCATTTCTCACTATGGTTGTCACATTTAATGAGACTCTTGTTCATGCTAAGGATGTAAGTAGTATGAAATTCATTCATGTCTTATTTCTAACAAGCACAAAAAATGTCAGAAGTGTAAGAAGAAGGAAAAAGGGTAGCGGGTCCAAGGTAGAAGGTCTCAACAAAACCTAAAACCAATACAGTATAGAGCGGTTCAGGAGTCAGTGTGACACTACACTGGGTATGACCTCGTCACCGACACAGGAAGGTTGAGTTACTTTTTGGAGATCGAACCGGAGGTCCATGACATTGTGTTGAGAGAAATGCAGGATAATTGTACGTACGCACCGTGAAACTCCGAAGTCGGAACTACAGAAAACAATACTGTCATTTGAGTCCTAAGTTTTTCTTTTTACCTCGTTCTTTTGACACTGTTCTTCTTCGACATTTCTTGTCAACCTCTCACACGCTCATAACTCTATTTATCCGATGGTCATGTTTTTGTTTTTCTCTTGTCTTCCTTCCTCTNGTCTCTCTGGGACCCAGGAGATGGGGCCATAGGAGGAGACGACCTACCACGCCGGCAATGGACCACACTAAACCGCCTACGAACTGGGGTCGGTCGCTTCAAAAGAAGCGACCGACCCCAGTTCGTAGGCGGTTTAGTGTGGTCCATTGCCGGCGTGGTAGGTCGTCTCCTCCTATGGCCCCATCTCCTGGGTCCCAGAGAGACTCAAACAGGGGTGATGGGGTCCAGCCTTCTGGTATTTGGTTGAAGGCCAGATATTGATTTTGGGCCTAATCCAGAGTTTAGGGAGTTATAGAAATCGAGACAAGAAGAGATAAGAGCTTGGCTGACTGTCTCCAAATAAGACCGGGAGATGAAGGACTTAATTTTGTATATGATACGTAACTGATAAAATCACGATTTGTTATGTCTGAGGACAGGGAGCCCAGATGTATTTACAGAGATGGGGCTGGTTTAGAATGGCCAAAAATGTGTACCTCTGATTTTTTGTCATTTAACTGGAGAAAGTTTTGGGCCATCCAGAACTTTATTTGATCTAAACCAGATAGGAGCTTGTTTACATTGCTTTTATCACTGCAGTTTAAAGGGACTTATATTTGTGAATCATCCGCTTAGCAGTGATATAGAATATTTTTGCATTTGTATGATATGCCCTAGTGGCAGCATGTAGATGGAAAATAATAATGAACCAAGAATAGAACCTTCGGTGCTGCAGTGGAGGAATTATCCCCAATTGAGACAGAAAATGTCTGATCTGATAGGTAGGATTTTAGCCCTTTGAGAGCAGTGTCCCCGATGCCTACCCATTTTCCAAGACGATCTAATAGGATAACATGATCAACTCGAATGCGGAGCTAAGATCTAAAAGGATTCCAATGGAGCAGTCCCCTGAATCTGCTTAAATTAAAAGGTCATTTGTGACTTTGACAAGTGCCGTTCCTGTGCTATGTCGTGTACGAAAAGTTGATTGAAATGTATCAAATATGTTGTTGAGATTCATAAAAGAAGATAAACTCTGTGTAAACCACCTTCTCTAAAATCTTAGCTAAAAAAGGTAGTTTAGAAATTGGAATCCAGAAGGTCTAGGTTTGGATGTTTGATGAATGGATGGACTACTGCATGCTTAAGGCATGGTGGGAGACAACCAGAGGATAATGAGCTATTCAAAATGGATACAATTATGGGACCAGTTAAAAACCTCTTTTGGGAATTCAGCATGGAGCCCATCTGCAGGACTGCAGGCAGGTTTTAGTTTGTGAATGTTTCCTCTAATGTGCAGTGCTAAGAGAGAATGTTTCAAATGAGTACAAAATGAAGAAGGGTTGTATTGATGAGCCAGGTCATACTGTTCCTCTGCAACTTTGGAGTCTTATTGTAATAATTTTGTTAGTCATTTGTGTTAAAGATTGTTCACAATTTCTGCAGGTTTGAGGAAGGTTTCAAAATGGAATGAAGAGTTTTAAAGACAATTTCATGTGTTATTGTAGTTTGTTTGAACAATGTCAGAAGAAGGAGGACCAGGCTTGTTTTACAGCTTTGTGATAAATTGCCATAATTTGTTGTTTAAGATTTCAAAGGATTCTGTGAGGCGGTCTTTCTTCCATATTCGTTCTGCTTTTCTGCGTTGTTGCTTTATTTCTTTGGTGGTGCTGGTTAACCAGGGAGGTCTAAGAGTTTGCTGCTTCATTTTCCTTGACACAGATGTTGGCACTGTGGGAGACAGATGTGTGAGGAGGCAGTTCAACGTAATGGCTTTAAGGTCCGATACATATAGACCTGCCTCATTCAGATCCACATTTTCAACATTAAAACCACAAGAAAGTAAAGGTCAAAAAAAGGTCGTTGACGAACATATTTCGTCATAGTTTTTGTCAACGAAATTAACACTAGCTCGACCAACGTCTATAATCAAAAACTCTGATTGGATGAGCATGTGAGTGATTACTTGAGGATAGGGAAGTATGTAAAAAATTGGGCTGTGACGTTTTGTTACGGGTCTTTAATCGATCAGGTGTGTGAGGGGAGGAGGTCAATCATACTGGATAGCATTTCCTGCAGATCGAGTGGTAGTGACAGATTTGATTGTTAAAATCACGTTGTGGTTTGCCCTGTCTGTTTAGGTGCAGAGCATCGAGTCTGTTCCAGAGCTTCTGGTAAATGCACTTGGTTTTGTTTGTGGCTACAGCCTGCAGGCGGATTACCTTAAAGTCAACTCATTTCAATTAGCGTTGCTTTCGGATTGTTGCAACAATAATAAACATACATTTTGTATAATGCAATCATCATTTCCAGTCCCATGTTGGTAAGAGTATCACAAATGTATAAATATAAAAAATAACCCCCTTCCATTTAAACCATCAACAGAGCTATTTTCATTTCCAATATAAATAGTATAAAAAGAATATTAAGATCTAATAATGAAAACCAGTCGATGGCTTTATTTTCCGTTATTTTATTTTTCAATGTGAAATAGTCTTGTTCTTTCGTTATAAACATATAAACTCCATGGAAGCATGTGGTCATCCATGACATCTGTACACACAGATCGACTCATTCAACCTGCACACAGATCAGTTCCTCTGATAGGAAACATCCACTGTTGATTTATAACCATGTTTCTTTTCAAACCTTCGCCCTTTTCCACATCAGTCTCTCCTACAGGGCACCACTGGACGTAGGAAACGAAAATAAATTCTGAGAAAAGATTTCAAAAATAGCTTGATGGTTCAGTAGTAGAGAAAGGTAAAGGGCAACAAATTAAAGCTACGTAATCTGGTTGACCAGCCAACCAGGAAGATGTTGAGTGTTCTCGTTTTGTCGTTGGGAAAGGTCAAACTGTAACAAAGCCCAGCTCTTAGCTTCCTTTACGCTGCTTAGTCAGTGGTAACTATAACATCTTAACATAAGAGACATTACATCTGCATGGAAGTGTTGTGATTTGTGTCCAGGTCAGGCTGGTTAGGTGAGATTGGGAGCAGCACGATGTAGCCCACTTCCAGTGGGGCTCGAAGACTTTGCCCAGGATTGATGTACAGGAACGACAAGAATCAGCCGTAGGGTTTGTTCAGCTCCATATCTACTCAAAATCTGACTCTTCTCCATTTAATGCTCGCTGAGGTAAAATACAGTATTACTCATATTGATCACCATCCAGAACTCAAAGAATAACCTACATTTAAAATATATTCAATAATAATTCCGACTAAGGCCTTGTGTGTCAGAGTGGTCATGTGTGACAGAGGTAGGCAGACTGACAGGGGATCAGGCCACCAGTAGAATCCTCCTCTGCATGTCAATAAAACACTTTAACTGGAACAGATCAGAGACAGGTCTTATTCCTATCTGCCCTTCTGCCATATTGAAAGCAAATCATATATTCTAAATGTTTCTTTTAGTTGAAAATGTATGGTTCTAGGACGCTCATGAATGCTTTTAGATGTTTCTCAAATAATGAGAAAATCAGCGTCAGCTATGTGAACCTCATCCAGCAGACGAATGAAACCATAAAAGGAGTTCCAGCCAGGAGCTCAGCTGGACAGTGTCTGGTGAGTCTAGATGTAGTCATCGTCCACAGGCTCTCCTGGTGTGTCACAGTGATGGAGAAACAGGACTACGACCCTCTGAAAGACTCCTCTCTTGCTCTGTCTCCGCTCTGAGATCTCCTCCCCAATGGTCTCCATGCAGATGTCGGCTGACAGCTGGCCTTTACGCCTGGGTGCGTAGATGGTGGCTTACACACAACACAACAAAGAGGAAAAGTGTTTATATGTTTTTTTGTCAGCAACAGGGGCAATGCTCATGAATTGTGTACATTCAGGGATCAATCCCAGGGAGTGTGCTAAAGGAGGGATGGATGACTGCACTCACTGCTTTCATCGTCCTCAAAGTCGTAGCGGGCGTAGCTGTTGGGGTCCGCTGCCCTCAGGGTCCTCAGCCAGGGGAAGTCTGTTATCATGCTGTAGGGGGCCTCGTCCACCACCCCTAAACAACAACAGCAGAACACTTGCTTTGAACAAGAACGTTTGATACTGAAACCATGCATTCTTTATCCTTCATCCTTCTATGTGGTGCATTCAGAAGAGACCTAGCACTCTACGTCAGTTATTGAATGCACAGTAGACACTTCCTCCCTAATCAGAATGGAATACATCTTCTATACTGAAGTTTTGTTGTAGCACAGAAAAGGGTTTCTTATCTTTAAAACAGATCTGTGTGGGCAAAATAATTTACCTGCTAAATAACTTATTTTGATCCCTATACCATGAGTTCAACTGGGAGAATGGTACTTTCTTTATTTTTAACCTGTTAAGCCCTGAGCCTGTTTTTCAGGTCTCAGGCTCGAAAATGACATTCCCAGAACAAATTACTATCTTCACTTCTAAAAAGGGGTAAATGAATCATCTTTTTTCTCAAAGTAATGATAAACCTGTGAGTTGGATGTAGAAAAGTCAGAATCAATATAGATTTTTTTTATTTTAAAGTAAATTCAGATTGAACATAGTAAAAAAATATAAATTATAGTGTCCGTCTAAAAAAAGATTTTATGAATCCAAACTATAACATATAATAAGTACCCTGTATCAAGATTGATGCAAAACAAGTGACATTTGACCTTTTTAGAGAGGTTTAGAAAAATAAACCCACTTCTGGGGTCATTTGGGTGGATTTGCCATATCTCTGGAACCCATCGGTCGATTTTNGTGTTTGCAGGTTCAGGATTTAAACGGAAAACAAATATGTGTGGATCAAAAATACACATTTAAAACTTTTTTCTGTATTTGGATTGTATTTACATGTATATGAAACGGAACACTATGTGTGCATTGAAAAACACAAATCCGGAAATACAAGTGTGAATCCTTTTGCGGATCATGAAATACAAGTGTGAATCCTTCTGTGTGCATTATGAGACTGTTCTGAGCCCATATTAAAATGTTTAACTAAAGTATGCAGATTCTGCTTATTAGGTGTCATTTTACCTGATTTGCATTACAGTGCCTACCATTGGTGGTTCTAGAGGGGGGCAAACACGGGCCAGTGCCCCTGTAACACTTGAAGCTTGGATCGTCTGTCGCCCCCCTCTGAATGTCTATGAACATTTCACCATTTGCAATAGTGTTTCAGCAAAGACTGTGCTTTAACTTGAGCCAAAGTTAACATCATTTTCAGTTTTTTATAATGTAATTTAATAATATTTTAACTAGGTAACTGACCAAACAAACAAATATAAATTATAGTATTTTATGTTGTTTGCACAGTGACTTTAAACTGAACTAAAATGTGTTAAAATCCCTAAAATTGGCACGGACACTCCGCCACTGGTATCTACTGTTAAATAATGACTGAATCGCTTTACCTATCAGTGGGGCTCCATATACAACAATAGCAATGCCTCTGCGGTTGCTTGCAGCCAGACCCTCAGGTGACAGATCGACACACATGTGGCGGGCGATTGCTCTGGAGACGGGGGTCATCTCCAACTGCCCCAGTCTCCCACTGCATCGCTCTTTGGTCATCTCTGAAACAACTGAAATCACACAGAAATAACGGTGAATTATGAAGAGAAGGTCATATACTTTCAGGTTCTGCTTATAAACAGGTTGTACTCACGTAACTCAGCTGGTTTCACAGTTACAGTTTGGGTTTCTTCCAATTTGCTCTCTGCTGTATGGGCATCGTTTTGTCTCAATGTCTTTTTATTCTTGTGTGTGTCATCCATCTCAGCTTCTTTTTCATCTTCATTAGGCTCTGCAACACACAGGTAGTTTAGATTAAAACAGGTATGTAAACAGTCTTTGAATCAGTAGGTTTCCTGCTGAAAAGTGCTAAATCCTACGTAACTAGGTATCCTACATAAGGGTGAAGTGTCCAGTATTACCCCAATCATTTGTTTCTGTGTTGTGTTTTATCCTTATGTTCCTGAGTACTTTGGTGACAGATAGACAACAATGTCAGTGCTTAATGAACGTGGGTGCCTGACGCTACCGTCATCTTTCAGCTGGGAGCAGTACTCCTTGTAGTAGTCGAGCAGTTCTGAGGTCAGACTTTCTCCAGGGGCTCGGGGAGGCAGCAGTAACATGTTGTTCTCATCATAACCCTGCATCAGATGCAGGATCTACATGGAATTAGGGGGGAGGGGAGAGGGAGGGGAATTTGGACAGGAAAAGACACAAAGGAACAGACAAATTCAATGTTATGAGGGGCCAGGTGAGGACACAAGGAAAAGAGAGGGCATCTCAAGGAGGGACGCGCTAAGTTTGTCTGATACAAGCTAAGATGAACTTTCAGTGACATGTGTTAAGTATTCTTGGAGCTAAATCCTATCTACAGAGTGGTGCAGTGATTTAGCATCGCAAGGGCTCCCTCAACAAAAAGCCATGGGATTTTTCCACTGGATTTGAGTATATTGCTGAAAAAAAGACATCAGGCAAAAAAACTGGTCATGATACGTGCATGCTCAGCAGGATAATCTCCACGTATTGTCTTTTGTAAATGCAATTGGCATTGGTAATAAGTTAACGTTGGCTATAAAGTAACAAAATCAAGGTCGCATGACTTCAAGTGAAGACCGCTAAGCTAAAGACGCTAATGTTCAGATTGATGATGTTTAGCAGTGTCATTACGGTATTTAATAAACTTTATTTCAGGTATCTAAACAAATACACTTTCAAAAAAACATTGACTTCATGATAAAGGAAACGAAAATGGTAAAATGCTAACTAATTTCCAAGTTGTATTACCCAGAGCCACTCTATTAACATATAACCAATATAATAGATTTAAGTGTCATATTAGTGATCCATTATGAAGGTCTTACAGTAGGTCACACCGGGCAGAAAGTAACAGCTTTCACGTCTATCTTTAACTTAAGGTGGCGCTGTTTTTGGAGTTCAGACATGTATATGCAGACCTGATGAGAGTTGGGCCGAATGGATGGTGGTAAACAATGTGTAAACACTTCTCTTTGCTTGTATTGTTTGTTTTCTGATTTCTGATCAAAATGTTCTTCACGAAATGGTTTAAAAGTAAGAATTGGTTATGGTCACTTTTCTCTTTTTCTTATCCATTCCATTCTTACAGAGGAGAGCTACCTTTTCTTCCTCGAGGTACTGCGTGTCGAACTCCAGGGAGTAGAACTCGATGGGGAATGAGCAGGGGTTTCTCACTGTGACCTCTGCTTCAACCTCAGTGTTGAGAGACAGGCAGGGCCCCAGCTCCAGCTCCGACTGGGAGAACTCCAGCCGTGGCTCCTCACCTTGCCCCTGAACTCTGATGAACACCTGCTTGGAGCTCTCAGCCACATGGACCGCTAGCTGCCTGTTGTAGGCAAGCTGCAAAGACAAGGACAGTAGGTCATCAACCATGTAATGCCACGATACTCTGATATGTATCGTGGTTGAATCCGTTAAGCTCCTTACCCCATCAGCAGGGCTGAACTTTATCTGGACGTTGACTCGTTCACCAGGGGACAGCAGGCCAGAACTGGGGATTGCCTTAAACACCTCTTGAGGAGGTTGATGCTCCTGAGAGACCTTTTTACGCTGAGCAAGAATCAGAATCAGAAACAGGTTTATTGCTAAGCAGGTTAACCCATAGAAGGAATTGTCCTTGGTGTATAGGGTGCATACATAAACACAGTCAAAGAAGATAGATTGTAAGAAATAAAACTATTAGTGGTAAGCCGTGAAGAAATAAGAGATAGCTTTGTTTACATTGTACAGAACTTGGAGGGTTGGCTAGGACTTCACTTAACTCAAATGAACAAGACATTGTTTGCATTGTGTGCATTAATGGAATGGAATGTAATAAAGAAACTGATAGGGTGAGGCACGTTTCACACTATTGCAACTATTTCTCAGTACTATCTCAGTAAGATGGTAGTTTAGTTTTCCTAAATATAAAGATGTTAGAAAAAATAAGGAAATAATTGGAATGATGTTGCGATTGTGATATGATTTACAACATTGGAAGAATTAATTATTTTGGCATCATTAGTGGAATCATCTTTAAGAAGAATGTTTAAATGATCATGGTGTGATTTTATTTAAGAGGATCCCTACTCAAACAAATATATTTAGTCAAGCCAGTAGAATTAGATTTGTAGGATATAAAAAAAAGATGTGGCTTCACAATACTACAATTTGTAAATATGTATTTTAACACATATTTGGCCCCCTGCAGGCTGGATATTGCACATTTCAAATTGAAATGTTGATGAATTGTGCAGCCCTAGATGCCATGTACAGTAGTAGTAGTAGTAGTAGTAGTAGTAGTAGTAGTAGTAGTTACCTGAAAATGAAAATACAAAACAAGTTGTAAAAGTTTATTGAATTTTCCATAAATTGACAAATGCCGTACCTTTTTGAGAGGCGTCCACTCCTCAGCTATGGTCCAGCAGCAGGGCATGGACTCATGATTAAACAGCTGTATTGTCTTCATCTGATGAGGAGGACAATAACAAGAAACTCAGCACAGCGTATGTTTTCAGACAGAACTGATATGCAGGTAATACATGGCCTTCAAGTTGCTTGAGCAAAAACAAACGTATCTTAGTTTTTAGTCTTTTTTTAATGTCTCTTGAAAGAAAATTGCTCTGAAGTCATTAGAGAACGCAAATATCTGTGTAAAAAAAACACCATACAAATATTATAAGGTTTCAAAAAACGTATTCATTTTTAATACAATGTCAGAATATAAAACCATATACATTCCATTTTGTTTATATCATTAAAACGAGGGGGGAAAAAACCCAACAATTAAAAAAAGCTGTATCCCAGCATGCAATACCAGTAGATTAGGCAGGTGTGATTCCCTCCTCCCTGGCATCAGTAAAACATGTCTCTCTCGCCTCCAGCCCTTCTTAAGGATTGTTGCTAGGATTGTAACTCAAACCAGGAGATACTACCGTATTACACCGAGCCTGGCCTCCTTGCAATGGCTACCTGTTTCTTTTAGTATCAATTTAAAATGGTATTGCTTAATTACAACGCCCAGAGAGGCCTTGCTCCGAGCTATTTCTTAAACCTTTATTGCCTTAAGTCCCCAGTTAATTGATGACATCTGTCCTTATGAATTCCTAGAATTATAGACCAATCACTATTACCGATGTTGGCGCCTATCTGGTGTTCGGAGTTACGGGCCGTCCACAAGGCGGCGTGCGTTGAAGCTTCAACACTTCTGCTCATTCACTTTGAATGAGGTGACGTCAAGCTTTGCCGAACTGCATTGTGGGAGCGTCGCTTCGCGCTCGCGTTGCTCGCTTCAAAAGTTGAGCAATGTTCAACTTTTGAAGCTTCGACGGAAGCGTCAGCCAATCAAATCATACGCCAGTACGANTTTTCTAAACCTCTCTAAAAAGGTCAAATGTCACTTGTTTTGCATCAATCTTGATACAGGGTACTTATTATATGTTATAGTTTGGATTCCTAAAGCTTTAAAAGCTTTAGGAATCCAAACTATAACATATAATAAGTACCCTGTATCAAGATTGATGCAAAACAAGTGACATTTGACCTTTTTAGAGAGGTTTAGAAAAATAAACCCACTTCTGGGGTCATTTGGGTGTATTTGCCATATCTCTGGAACCCATTGGTCGATTTTGGTGATTGACATCTCTTCTGAACCGTTAGAGCCAATAGAATCGAGGGGACATTCCTAAATCCATCTAAACATTACCATTGGTGAATGCGCAGCTTGCATGCCCAAAACCGGAAGCTGGGTTACAGCTCTCATACACTATAAAAACTCAGTTTTTGACATAAATGTTATGATGGATTAACAGTAATCATTTCAAAGTGACACAGAGACATTGGATTAACCTTCAGCAGCGTTTATATGCGTTTAAATGCCATTGAACACAACTTTGATCAGAAAAACAGCAAAGGTAAGACGTATTTGCCGTTTTGGCCCCGTAAAGCTAAGTTGTGTGTTATCTGGTTTTGCCTTTTCTGCCGCAAGTTTTGTTGATACTTATACCTCTAGAATCTGTGGAATCTCAGCTTTCATATGATATCTTGTTTGTGCAGATCCAATGAAGTATACAATATTTCTACCGTGAGTTATGGGCATTAGCACTCTTAGGCTTAGTGCTAATTCAGACGCTCGGCGTTAGAGTTGTGTTTCGTTTCGGTAAAAATGGTTCATATCGTCAGTTAGCTGAGTTTCTTCCCGTTAAGTGGGTATGACACATTAATAGGTTGTTAAATGTTAAGAAGCCCTGAGACACAGTTTCCGGGGCTTAAAGGTGGGGTAGTTAATTCACTTCAGAAACACTTTTTGTTATATTCCATGGAATGCTCTTAACATCCCGATAGCAATGAATAAATGATTATGTAATAAACATTACCAATCATCTGAGCCGGCCCGGCTAAAATAACTGGATGGCCTACCTGCGTGTCAGCCTTCCATCTGTGCACAAACTTATCTCGTGCCCTCATTGGTCATGTGCGCGTTCGTGTGTGTTGGAGGAGGGGCTCTGTGAGGAAGTGGCAGATTTTTTCCGGTTGCGCACTTTCAAATTCTAGCGCACTCGAGCTGGTTTCTCCATTTTTACCCTACCTTTAACATGTTAAGGGATATGAATGTGTACAGAGGTGGATTAGGGCCACGTGAAAATATTTGAGATCTTACCAAAAGAGCATTTTTTTTAATCTATAGTCACATAAAAGCCACGATTCTGACTTATATCGAAGATCTAAACATAAAAATTCACACGTGCACTCTTCCGTAAAATTGTGCAATTTGGTGTGTTCTGTACAGTGTTCCTGAGTGTATGTAAGCATCACCTGCTCTGAATGTGTAACTGGCCACAGCGCAGGTTTGGTGGATGTGAATGTGTATGTCTACCTTCAGTGGGGCACTGGAAAGGAGTGGGGGTTAATGTGGGGGTCACAGTCTTACCCTCCAGTGTGTAGATGTCCCGGCCCCAGGGGTATTTGGGATACTTCTTCACATCCTCTTCTGTTCTTGAGGCCTCGGGGAAGAACTCATACTTGATCAACTCCCTGAGACAAAGACACACACAGATCAATCAGGTTGTGTTTAAAATTGATTTGGCCTTATACTTGCTCAGTGACAATGTCTAAAGTTTTTACTGTTGACTTCATTAGATATCTTTCCGTTTCTGCTGCATCCAATTTCTCCATATAAAGTCCCCACCCATTACCATGACCCCAACATGTCATCCACTAACACTTCTCGTTGCTTTTTTGAATATCCGCAGTCTGAGATCTTCCGGTTGTCTCTTTAGAATCACTTATACATAATATTGAAGTCAGTTTGTATTGAAGGTGACTTCCTCTCCTGCAGGCACAGAATGCTGGTGCTCAGTCTTTGCGATGTTAGAACATTGTCCCCACTGCTCTCTAATGTCCATTTGGTGTGTCTGGCCTGCAGAATGAATCTATTTACATTTTCCGAAAATGAACAATCAATCAATCAATCAATGTTTATTTATATAGCCCAATATCACAAATGTTACATTTGTCTCAGTGGACTTCACAGTTTGTACAGAATATCAGTATGACAATACGACACCCTCTGTCCTTAGACCCTCACATCGTACAAGGAAAAACTTCCAGAGAAAACCCACAGTTTAAAGGGAAAAATGGGAGAAACCTTAGGGAGAGCAACAGAGGAGGGATCCCTCTCCCAGGACGGACAGACGTGCAATAGATGCCGTGTGTAAATTGAAAAGATAATACATTTGCAACATAGGTAGTCCAAAAACAAAAAATGATAGGCTTACTTTGAGGTCACCTGTCACCTGATAGGCTTACTTTGAGTTCACCTGTCTCCGGTCCTTCATATTACTAAATGTAACTATGTCATAACACTCTCATATAGAATAACACTTAGGAGAGAAGTGTTCAGATAGAAAGCAGAGGGTAATAAGGGACTGATGTTTGACAGAATGCCCCTGATATCTGATCAGAACTTACTGGCTGATGTTGGCTATGGTGTCCATCCAGCTGCGGATGCGAACCTTATTGCGTATATTTGGAGGGTTGCTGAACTCATGCACTATGGCGATGTGATAGGGATAGGGTCCCTGGAAGAGCTGACGCTCCAATCCCACAGAGTCAATCTAAAGAGAGGAGAGAGAACAGGGGAAGTATAAGAAGAACCATTTCAACGTTATGGAAAACATGGGAAGTTTGCCTAACAGATGTAGGAGATGTTTCTCCATTTGCTGCATAAAACTGATCTACAAACTGAAAGCAGTAAAAATATGATAATATATTTGTTTGCAGTAATAATAATAATATTTGGTTGAAAACAAATTTAAATCCATACAGTATATTGGTGTTTAGCCTCTTTCAAAATGGAGATCTATGGGGGAAGATTTCATTTTGGCGCATACAGCTGGCCACTGAGCGTCAGCAGACTGTTTGTTATCCAGATCTCAAGATGCTTTCATGGTTAACATAAAGAGGACCTACCTGGTGCATAGGGCGCATGTAAATTATGCGGTTCCTCTCAGGAGGCATTCTCAGTATCTGATCCAGGACCTGTTCCATGTCCAGCTTCTTACACTGGGCGAAATCAAAGCGGTTCACTATGGGTGCGCTCTCCACTCGCAGTTGCTTCAACACTCGACATCTGGTGGCTGCAGGCAGAGGGAGGAAACACACGGAGCACTTTGTGACTGAATGATTCGGACAAAGACTGAACCTACCCTGCCGACATTAGCTTATTAAACTGGAGTCATTTAGAGAAGACTGTGCTGCCTTGAAGGAGAGTAGCGAAGTTGTGTTGTCATAATGTTTGATTCATTTATATCAATGCAGGACACTGGATATAAGATGTCCGAACAATTGAGCTGTTAACACTGACTCTATAAAACACATATCCAACATGGCAGACAGTGTGGCTGATGTATTGGTATTCCTACAGTGCGATTGCTGTAATATTTGCAACTTTTCCCCCAAAAATGACAGTGTAAAATCAAAGATTGTGTTGCTAAAAGTTAGGTACCAAATAATGTTTGGATACAAATAACTTCTGTCTTACTCCGGAAACAAAATGACTTGTCCCTTATATTATGAGAAAGTAATAAAAGGATTTGTTACCATGTATGAACATCATCTTGGGGCAGTCTTTGAGGACCAGATCAGTGATTCCACAGTTAGTCAGAGTGATGCCCACCAGGTTCTTACTCTTCAGAGACAACACCTGCACCAGCAAAAACATCTCAGTACAAACAGGGTACACACAGGGTACACACAGGGTAAACACAGGGTAAACACACAAAGAGTAGACACAGAACACACTAGGGCTGTACCCGAATATTCATTCGTTGGAGTACTATTCGGGTTTAAATGTTGTTATTCGGATATTCTTTTTCATTTTATTTATTGAAAACTCCAACATCAACGTTAGAGCTTGTGCCTCTTCGGGGGGTGCTAACACTTAACCATAAACGTTATCGTTTACTTTCTCTGTCTTTATATGTAGATATTATTCTATTACTTTTTCTCCGTTAATCTCCGTCACGTTGTTTCCATAGCAACAACAACTTCCTGTCAACAGCGCTAACTCTCCTTCACAATAAAAGCATGTCCATAAATAGGAAGCCAAGCCAAATTACACTTAAGACATATAACACAATGCAATATCCTTTTCAATTTCAAAGAACACAAATTGGGTTGTATACATTAACAAATAGAGAACCGCAGTGACGCGTCCTAAAACCTGGAAGTAAGTTAGCATTTTACCACTGCCGGTTCCTTCGACAAAAAGCAATGGGATTTCTCATAGGGTTTTGGAAAATATCTGTAAATAAGGTCTGTTGTTGACAAAAATTGAAGAGACAGATCACGTTTTGTTCTATGACATTAAATCCATCAGCAGTGACCCCACTGGTGATTTCTGAAGAGTTGACGTGTCTGAAAAACGATGGTTGTTACCNTGGCTGCTGACTGTGTTCAGGTGGACAGCAATTGAGGCTGTGAATCATGTGCCCATGATTTGAATAAATGCCCACACCGAGTTGTATTTGGACGTTCTGCCTCTGCCTCCTTGCTTGGTCGGGCCGCTCAACGGTGTAAATGGTAAATGGACTGTACTTATATAGCGCTTTATCCAGTCTTTAAGACCCCTCAAAGCGCTTTACATACTACATGTCATTCACCCATTCACACCCATTCATACAGAGCAGTGTACCTTACTCTAGGACCTAACATTCACACACATTCACACACCGTTGGCCATGCCATCGGGAGCAACTCAGGGTTAAGTATCTTGCCCAAGGATACATCGACATGTTGACTGCATGGGCTGGGATCAAACCCACAACCTTCTGGTTGAAAGACGACCACACTCCCTCACAGCCACAGTCGCCCTGGTGTCCTCTCAGAGTCTAGACTAGAGCAATGATATTAGGCTTGTTATTCGAGATAAGAGGTTAAAATGTTTAGCTTAATTATGTGTATTTTCTTTCCCTTTTACCTATATTAGTATTTCCCGTTAGTTATTATAAGTGTTTTTTTTTTGGAAAAGTGGTAGGCGGTAATGCAAGGTCTGGATGCCAACCGCCTCTTAAAACCAAAAAGAAGAAGAAGTTTAATGTGTTCGTGCCTTCTGGATATTTTCTAATGCAGATTTTGAACTTATCTTATGGCTTGCCCTGTGGTTGAAAACAGACTGCTCATAGATACGGGTTTTTCAGTAAGTGAGGTTTAATTCTCTATTACATTTATTTTCTGGATAATCAGATAATAATTCTGTTCCACGCTCCAACCCAGTAGGTGGCGGTGTCTGCCTTGACGCTGGTAGCCAGCCGATCTTAAGCTAAGGAAGAAGAAGCAGCAGCAGCATCAGCAGAAGAAGAAGAAAAGAAGAAGAAGTATATCAGAAGAAGAAGAAGGGGAAAAAGAAGAGGAAAAGCACAGCTTTTTAGCTGCTGTACTTAAAGGAAGCGCCACACCAGTGGCTTTGACTGAGCCATGCGGTAGGTCGGAACACTCTCCGTGTGGAAACGGTGCAGGGCAACCAGTCACTTCCTGTATTGTTTACTTTTATGATTTGTGTCTGTTCAATGTTAGCTGCGGATGTGCTAACTAGTAAGCTAGCTTTGACAAAGACTATGCTGAACTTTATTGCATCATTACGCGGAGGAAGGTCTTCAGTTTAAAGTGTTCCCCCTGTCAGTAACCGTCCAACGGTCAGCATAATGTTCTATCGTTGGCTACAACCATACGTAAAGCTGCTAATGTGTTGGTGGTTTGCTCAAAGCTTGATTCAGGTTATATACATTGCCTTATATCATTAGTGAGTGGTTTTTATTTCAGACTTCCCTTACACGCCCTGAAACAAGTTGTACCTGGACATTACTGAGTTACGTTAACAAAAAGCACTACAAGTCCTCATGTTTGTGTGAAGCTGTTCCACATGCTGTGATGTTCTCACTCTCAGCACTATAGCTCTGGTTTGATGTCCTCCCACGTGAAGCTTCTGATAGTTTCTTCCCCCAACTGTCTGACAATTACGCTTGCATGATCTGCACTCGGATCAGTCAAACCAGTTAACGAACGCATATTACTGCAAAGTCTGTTTTAATGGATTCAATATTTGCCTCAACATTTATTATTATTTGGTTATCAAATTCACAATTTTATAATCCAGGTTATGATGAGTGCCTTATATGTGTATACCTGGTTTAGTAACCTACATTTTCAAGAGAATGTTGAAATAATAGTCTAAATATCTCTATCTGTATAGTTCTATCCAACCCACAGGTTTAACCCGATCAAATGTCTCAATTTCGAGCTAGAGACCTGAAGTAATGCAAATGACAAGCACCCCTACCTCTGTATCCTTTCCCCTTGATCCCATGTACTTATCTTGGTTGTGATGTTTGTCCCAAACTAAGGTTCCTGCCTAGGAAGTAGCACCCCTGCAGGAGGGAGGAAGTGTGTGTCTGTCTTCAAGCCTGGGCAGTGTCGCACAGTGATGGGGCCGAGGAAGAAGGCCTCTAAACCGCAGCCTGTGGTGGGCAGCAGTGGAGGGGAAGTGCTCCTGAGACCCAGTGAGCCCAAAGACTACATCAATGAGCTGTCCCATGAAGTCCTCTGTCATATATTCAGGTACAATGCCATGTGGGGGAGTTGGTATAAATAATGATCAGGAGAAAACAAAGTTTCAGCGGTCAACATGTCTGAAGATTTCAATGTCTTGGACAAATGGGAGAAAATCCAGTCAAATATCATCTGTGTTTATTATTGGTCTTAAAAAATATTGTTAGGAAGGCTATTTAAAGAATGTCATCTTCAAGGAATTCATATTCATATTTGATTGTAAAGTAGGTTATTTCAAATAAAACAAGTCCCTTCAAAACACTTCTGCATGATTTTAAAAAGAAGAAAATAATGCTGAAATGACTAAGCAGTAACACTTAACAGTTAACACAAATCATTTCCCTCAGCTTTTGGCCTACATATTCTCATAATGGCAGAGAAAGCGGACAAATGGTTATTAAAACCTGTTTGAATTCATAGTCTACGCCCCTTGATTGTCTTTCTGATCAACCTTTATAGAGCCCATCGATCAAACTATAGTTATTATTAATGTTGTAGAATCTGACCTACTAACCTTTCAGCATTTGCAAGTCATTGGTCTGTACGCCATAATATGCACTTTTTTGGTCGCAGTGATATTTATTGACTTAGTTTTAGATAACTCACGTTCAAAACCTTTGAAAATGTTGTTTCATTGTGTTTTAAGCCCACATTTCGTTTAACATTTCCTAAATTGAATGTGTGTACATTTAAAGTAGTAGACTGAAATGAGTTACACATTGACCTAAGCCAAAAGTGCGAAAGGTTTGAAAGGTTTAAACGTTGTTTGGTTTCGTAGGTACCTTCCCATGAAGGACATCATGTGTATGGAGTGTCTGTCCAGAAAGCTTCGAGAAGCTGTGACTCTGTACCTGCGCGTGGTCAAGGTGGTGGATCTGTGTGCCGGCCGCTGGTGGGAGTACATGCCTTCAGGTGAGAGCACAACCACTGCTTCCCTTACCAACTAAACCAAACTAAGAGCATGTTCACTTTTTTTTTTTAAAAGTCATTCGTCATTAGTATTTTCTGTAATGTGGTGTAGAAGTATAGGGCCGGAGTATAGGGTTCAGACAATGACTTTGTGGTAGATAAAAGTCTCAGATGTAATGTGAGCTGCAACAGGGGGAACTGTAGTGAGAGAAAAGTGGTTAAAGTGGTTTTGGAAAGCATCAGGAGAGTGACAATAGCAGCAGCTACAGAGCAGCTGCAGTGTTTTGCTGAGCGATGGTGAACAGGGAATTGCCACAGTATAGCATGGGGGGGGGGGGAACCATGTTTTACTGGTCAGTGTGTTTATGGGTTAGCAACCTTTTGTTTGTTTTCATATATGTTGAGGACATGGTCTGAATGTACTGCTTTTTCTGGGTCAGGCTTTACAGATGGCAGTTTTCTGCTCCTTTTGAAGAAGATGCCAGATCTGGAGCAGCTATATGGCCTCCACCCTCGGTACCTGGAGAGGAGGCGAGTCCGAGCCTACGAGGCTTTCAGTATACCTGGAGTCCTTGAGGCACTACAAGCCTGTCCCAATCTGCTGGTCAGTATATTTTTGACAATGATTCTCTTCTGCAGCAAGGCTTCCTTGCATCAGGTTTCAATCTATCCAGCTGTACCACGCGTTTGTATTACAAAGAATGCATACTTTTAGCATTCTGTGGCACATAACGGAGTGAGTCATAGCAGAGGCTTGTGATGTTTTTATAGTCTGTAGAAAAGTCAGCAGGGCTATTAAACTCTTCTGTTCAGGGGGCCCCATTTTTCAAAAACCTGACCATTGCATAGAAATATATATATTATTTATGAAATATATATTTTTAAAGTAAAGAGCTGTTTAGTATTTATCAACGAATGTGCAAATGTGAATAGTATTGAGTATACAGCAAGGCACGACCTTGTTGATGAGGCAAGCTGCAGTCGGGTACAAACACATTTTGTGAGGTGAGGTTTTGTTCCTGATGGACCTCAGGCTCCTTCCTAAGTCTGTTCTTGAAAGGCCCTATACAATTAAAGTTATAATTATTATGAAGAGTGCCAGTATGTGGTGCGTCCTTGTGATAACACAAGAGCTATGGGAACTAATGTCACCATTTCATTGTTACATTATGAAGCTTATGTCACATACTCCTTTTTCTCCTTTGACACCCTGATGGTGTTGCTGCGCTGTTAGAAATCTGAATGTATTTGTAGGATTCAACATTTGGATTTGTCAAATTACTATTCCAGGAAAAGTGTTAACGAGCAAGCTTTCAACTGTATATCTGTCCTAAGTGTATAGAGATGTGAATCAAGCCATTACAGCTAAGCACACTATCTACTGGAAGAAAAACAGCTAGCAAGTGGACCTTGCATTTTGATGGGTTTTGTCAAATAACTGGATTTTCCTGAATTCCAGGGCGTGGAGACGTCCCATCTGGAGCTGGTGGAAGCCATATGGAACTACATGCCTCAGGTTCATATACTGGGGAAGTTCCGCAACCGTAATGGGGCCTTTCCCATTCCTGCTGAGAACAAACTGACCATCCCCATAACTGCAAAGATCCAGACCCTACATCTCGTGGGTAAGAAACGCCACAATAAACCGAAAACTCCTGCTACTGCCTAGAAATTGCAGCTGAAATACAATTCATTGAAATATGTAAATCCATTTATTCTCGTTAGTGCAGGAGCTTGTGGGGCTTGTAAATGGACCTGCAAGGGCCATGTCGTGTCACCTTAGTTTGAAAAACAGCAGCACTGTAATTGATGAACTTCACAAAGTGTCTGTTTGTTGTAGGTGTGAATGTCCCGGAGATCCCCTGCGTGTCCATGCTGCGTCATCTTTACCTGAAGTGGGTTCGCCTCACCAAACCTCAGCCGTTTAAGGACTTCCTGTGTGTGAGCCTGAGAACCTTTGTCATGCGCAACTGTGCAGGGCCAACGAACTCCCTCAAATACGTTCCCCTGGTAACGGGTTTAGCATCAGCTCGGAACCTCGAGCAGTTGGAGCTGGTGAGGGTTCCCTTCCTCGGGGGGCTGATCCAACATGTGGTGGAAGACAGCTGGAGGTCAGGTGAGGAGGGCGTGTGTGTGAAACAAAAAAAAGTATATTATTTACAAAAAGTAATTATAAAATGGAATTATGGTTGGAAAGTGTAATAAATATTTATGTTGGTCATAGAATATTTTATGATTGTACAAATTCCAATAGGGTTGGGACGTTGTATTGAACAATTGAATACACAACAAAGACGTGTCTGTGATATTGCGTATGTGTCTCCAGGAGGATTTCGGAACCTCCACACCATTGTGTTTGGAGCGTGTAAGAACTCTCTGGAAGTGGACCTGGGTTACCTCATCATCACTGCTGCTCGCAGGTGCTCAACCATTAACCAGTTAATTCAACTAGCTGCATGTACAGCTAGAGTTTTCATAGAAAAACCACAGGGTTCCACTTTATGGTCTAGTTGCCGGCAGTGTGAACTGTTGGAGGAGGCCTGATCATTTATTCTGGCAAATTACTCAGACCTAATAATTGACCTAACAGAATTTATTGAGTCTATGTAAGTTTACTGCTTGTCTCAGATCCACCAACGTCAGCAAGATCTCACCTCTATTAACTCCCTGAAGAACCAGGTTCAATTAACTGCTGTTTCAATTCAGGCGACCCGCTACATCTGTTTAAGCGATCCCGAAGGATTTTGATATCAGTAGTGAGGTGTGGCCCTACCTAAGTGTGAGTGTGGCAGGGTGCAATCTTACCTTTTGAAGCAGGAGAGGAGAGCACAGATGTCTTTTTAAGTTATCCCAATCCAAAAGGTGGGATCAGTTTATTCGAAGAAAAATTGGTCCATACTTGAACAGGTTTTTACCTTCTCTCGTTACAATATGACAATAATATAAAACATATCATGCTGTGGTCATTTTCTAATCTGAAACCTGAATTCATAGTTTTGACATTAAAGTCTTCCGACATAATCCAAAGGAATCTCCTCAAGGATCGCCGGGCCTGCACATTCACACCTATAGCCTGACAACATTCAGAGGCGGTTCCTCGTAAATGGTCAGTGTGATCTAACAGTTTCAAACTTTCATCCAACAATTCACTCAACTTCAAAGAAATTCGAGCAATATTTACCAAGTTTAAGAGAACCTTACAGAGGAAAAAGCCAGCTCTCCAGGGAGAGAGCTTACCGGGAGAAAGCATACGAACTTTGGTACTCCACCTCCGCAGAGAAAATCAGAATCTTGCTGATAAAAGCAACGCCTTTTATATAGGTTGTACGAATTTTAGTCATCCAGCTTTTGAAAAGAGCATGTGAAGATAGCTGACAAGTGCAACCAGGATAAGAACCCCAATCGTCCCCTCGACAGGTGGCAGGATAAACTCAATGAAGAACAGCGCCAAGCTCTGAGTAATATGTTTCTGTTGGTCTTTCACAAAGCCAAACATGTACGTCCTATGCGTTCATATGAGGAGGACATTGCACTTCTCAAGAGGCTTAAAGTTAATGTTGGGACTGCTTATCATTCGAGAGAAGGGGATCCCGCATCATGGAGACCATCGCACAGGCAATCAGTTCAGAGTTGTATGTAAAAATTTTGGGTGTGTGCTTTTTGATGGATCAGAAAGACATTAACCAAAAGTGGAGCAGGAAAATTGTGTACATTGTGTCTGTGGGTAGCAAGGGAGAGTTTAGCTCAGATTTCATTGGGTTTAATTAATTTGGGTGTGAAACGAACGGCACAGGACATAAACAGACGGGATGGAGCAACTCTTTCCATGCTTGTGGCTTAGGAGATGAGTGGAAGGACGAAGGTTGGTGTCTTTATGCCACAGACGCGAGCTGCAGTGAACGGGGTCGTCCCCAAACTGCGTAAACTGGTGGGCGATTGGGGGATTGGCCTTGTGCATATCCTTTGATCCTTCAACTTGGCGCAAAAGAAAAAAAAGATCTCCACAGGTTTTGGCAACACAACCACTGACGACATTCTTCAGAAATATGAAGGCCATCCTGTCTATCGACAGAGACTCCCCTGTAAGAGAATGGATGCTTTTAAAGCGAGCAGGAAAACGTTTGGCAGCGTTCCTCTGTGTATGACATTTTTGTTTTTTTAATTGCATTACAGAAAATAAAGAACTTTATCACAATATTCTAATTTTCTGAGACAGTCCTGTATACTATAGGTCAGTAACCAAAAATATCCTTTAAAACTGGAGAGATAAAAAAATGCATAAATAAAAAAATGTTAAGGTAAAATAAGATATGAATGAAAAACACAAATAAAGTAAGTTACATTCATTTGTTATTGGCTATGGTAGGCTATTGGTTATGTTCACATACTTATTTGATTACATCTACTTGTCTAAGATGACAACAGAGACTTTCGACCCAAAACCAGCTGTTGACTTGTGGATGCAAGCAGCTAATCGCAGACTCAACCAGAGAGAAAGAAGTAGGCCTACATCATCAGCTGCCATGTCTGACAGAGAGGAAGACAGTGAGGAGAACAGTCAGGAGGGTAGTGATGACAGCTTGTAGGATTACTGATCGTGCTAATGTTGTCTTGTGTTCACCTCTGCTTGTGTGTTCAGTGCACGTGTGTGTCTGACAAATAAAGTCAAGAGCCCCTCAAAAGTTATGGTTGAATTCATTTTAAGGATGAGCACCAAGCAACATCTCCAGGTGCTCCTTTGAGAACCAGGGTAAAAAAGTTATGTGTACCCCTGACAATAGGAGTCTATGAGCTGGCTACTACACTATTAGGGTAGATTTGGACACACTGTCCCGACACTGTACAGAGCAAAGCATAAACACAGGACATGGAAGTAAGAAGCTCACTGATACCCAGGTTAACATGGAGTTAAAAGAAAACCCTTATTGAACCTGTCCTTACCTTCAGAGCACTAACGTTTCCTAATGACATGATTTGTGTCTGTTCAACAGGCTTCACGAGCTGCGTATCCAGCCTTCTCTGACCAAAGATGGCGTCTTCTCAGCCCTAAAAATGGCTGAACTAGAGTTTCCTCAGTTTGAGACACTTCATCTGGGATATGTGGATGAGTTCCTGCTGCAATGTAAGTTTCCTCCAAATATCTTCAGCAGAACTCAGATCATGTTTCCTTCCCTGAAAGAAATCAGCATTTCCATACTCTTTCTTCTTGTGCTTAATTTCCATGTTAATATATTATCAAACAATAGACAACCATGGCTCTCCTTCTCTAGCTGCTTTTCTTTCTTTGTGAATGTGTAGGTAAGATGACTCATTCGGAGCTGGTGAAGTATGGTCTGGCTGATGTCATTGAGAACCCAGGCATCATCACTGATATTGGAGTGAAGGTAGTGAACGAGGTGTTCACTAACATCAAGTACCTGCTGATCTACAATTGTCCTCACCTGCATAACCCTCACCACTGGATCACAGGTAACACTCCACAGACATCACTGGTTGCCTGAAGTGTGTCTCTCAAGGCGCTAATATTAATGTGGGCTCTATGTAATAGAAGTTGTATTTTGCTGCTGTCTTTGGTCTTTCAGTTGTTGCTTTGTTGTAGTGCTGTGTGTAGCTGTTATCTCTGCCTTTGTCTGTCCTCAGATCAGTCCAGATGGAGTCGTCTGGTCGATCTCACTCTGGTTCGCTGTCATGCCATCAAACTGGAATCCTTTTCCCAGTTCATAGAGGCACTTCCCAGCCTGGAGTTCATCTGTCTGGACCAGATGTTTAGAGAACCACCCAAGGTATACACTACATATATATATATATATATATATATATTTCTCCCCCTCAGATCCCTCGATGTAGACAGGTGTGTGTGTTTTCGCCTCGTAGTTTTTCTGTCCAATTAGACATTTTTAAAACACAAGTTAGCTGTTTATTTCCTTTCATGGTCAACATTTTTGGTTTCACGAAGATACCACTTAACATCACATATTATTTACACTTTTCTTCAAAGCGACTAAAATACCCTAGACATGCCTATCGACCAGCCCAATTGGACATTTTGTCAGGACTGACCACATCATGAGTTGTTATCGCCAGTTGTAGAGCACAGCAGCCCTCCATGGCTGAGTAGTTGTAATGAAAAGGGGAAACAACGGAATGCTTTCAACAACAACAATGAACTGAGACTATTGTTTGTGAAACCATTGTATGTACTCATGCATGTTCTGCGTGTCCTGTGTGAGACAGGGCTGTGCCAGGGTGGGTCTGAGTGCAGGGACTGGTATCGGCGTGTCCTCAGCACTTGTCAGCAACCAGAACTCCAACAACGACAATGATAACAACAACAACCACCACCACCACAACAATGAGCCCAACATGCCCCCTGCCCCTCCACCTGTCAACATCATCAACAACAACAACAACAACCAGAGACAGCAGCAGGAGCACAATGGTAAGTCCTACCTGCAGTCCTAGGGGAACAGCAGTTCAACACAGCAGCAACTATTGTGGACTTTAGCTTCTGGAGTCTTAAAACAACCTTACCTTTTCAACCCTTAGTCTTTAGAAAGTACACCTGAACCTTTCTGGGATTATGCTAGTGCTCTGCCGGAGATGAAGTGAGCTAAATGTGATTCAGTGAAGTGATTCAGACTCGGACATTTTAATGTTGTGCAACATTCTATCACCAAAAATCTAAATGCAGTGTATTTAGTAGATAACTTTCAGATCTGTCAATAGCTTCTGGGAGAGAGCATCTTATCAGAATCAGATATCCTTTATTGGTCCTACAGATAGGAAATGTAAAATCATAGTGCAGTGCAGACAAATCAACATTAGTAGAGTAGAATATTAACTTAGGAGTTTATTTAATAACATTGTTAATATAAACAAATCTAATGAACACAAGTCTGTGGTAAAAAATAAGTAGCAGCATCATAAAAAAGTGAACATATGAAAGTAACAACATCATTAATTAATAAATATAACTGTCATCTCTCAACAGTGCTGAATATTGAAGTATCAACAAGTAATAACAAAAGTAAATAGTATACCGTAATAGCAACTATTGTACAACAGGGTGGTTATAGTCAGTATTGGTGTCTGTACGAGGGACTGTGGTGATTGGTATGTAACAAATGTTTATTTTCACTGAAGCAGCAGCAGCAGCAGAGGTAAATGGGATGGAGGATGAGGAAGAGGAGGAGGAGGAGGTGATGTTGGAGGAGGAGAACATGGAGCATCAAATAGAGCTGAAAGGAGCACAAGGGGAGGTGAGAGCTGAGGGGGCGGACGCAGCTCCAGGGCCCAGTCGTCTGGCTGAAACACCACAACGTCCCGACGAGGAGCAAGCAGGTTTGCAGCTTGTTTTTTTGTTGTTGACAGTAGCAGGGGTTAAATCTGGCACATGTAATATTAGCGTACACTCAGTTTTGATGTAGTAAATGGAAGCATTAACTTCCTCAGTGTTGTATTGACTGGGAAAGCTGAGTTCTCCTGCTGCAAAGTCTGATCTTTCTGCCAGGAGGCAGGACCTGCAGGCTCACCTGCCACTATGTATCTGGGGAGCCAGGGGGCGCACGTGCTCTATGCTGTTTCAAAACTAAACTTCCCTGTTCTCTTTGCTTGAACTGCAAACTAGTTATGTTTCCAAGACCCATGCATTGCATCGGGTCAGGGCTGGCATGGCACTCTGCAAACAGGAGCAAGCCGCTTTCTCAATGTAGCTTGTTGGACATCCACATAAAAGCTGAAATAATTTCCTAAATACATCAGCCGTCTAATCCAGCATTTCTTCATGCTCACACGTAAAAAAAGAAAATGCTTTTCCTAATCATTTTGGATGTCTACTGATCTGTCTTTCCCAATTCCAGGTCCCAGTGGCTTAGTACAGCAGAACAGAGCAGCAGGGGCAACTGTTCCAAAGCCCCCCCCGGTCATCTCAGACTCTGACAGTGAGGAAGAGGAATGTCTTGTATCAAGGCTAATGCCAGCTTCCTGTTTGCAGCAGCCAGCTTCCTGTGCAGAAGGTAACACTATTTCACAGAACACCAGTCATTATAACCATTGCGTGTCACAATGGGTTGTGGGTGTGGACTGGGGTCAGTAACACAACAGCTACAGAATAAGGGCTTCTTGTTCAATACAAAAAAGGATCTACACACAAATGTGGCTATAAGCATAAGAACATGGTTTAAAACGAAGAGCTTGGGTTGTCCCGTGTATGTAAAATAAACATGTATGTGTTTCCAGGGAAAGGAAAGACTCCTCTGAGGCGGAGCAACAACGTGGCCGGATCAGCGGCAGACTCGCCTGACCTGACGAAGGCTCAGCTGTCAGAGAGCAGCTGTGAGAAGAGCTGCCAGGTGACCAGTGAACAGATCAAAGCCGACATGAAGGCTGCTGCTGACACCAGCAGGAGGACTAGTGCTAAAGGAGCGGAGGCTGCTGCTCGCCTCGGGGGGGACACTGGGACAGGGCGGGGCCCTGGAGGGAGGCCGCTCACTGGCTCTGCTGCCTGGGCTGGACCTGGAGCTGCCTCTTCCAGGCAGGTAGGTGGATGTGGGAGGGTGGTGATGGGGACCTCCCACAGAGCAACCACAACCACTGAGAGAGCAACAGGAACTGGCAGGCCAAGTGAGGGCTCAGAAGGCCCTTCTGGAGCAGGGACTGAGAAGAGCTCTTCTTGTGTGGACAACGGGGCTCCCAGGTGTGCTGCTGTCAACCATGCCTACAGGAGAGCATCACTGCTGCCTGCACAGGGAGAGAGACCAGCCACCCCCCCGGGATCTGCCCCTGCTGACGGGTCAGGGTCACAGCACGGTCAGCCCGGAGACAAGGACTTCGTTCCTAGAAGACCTTTGACCCGATCTTGCACTCGTATGACCCCTGTGTCGCTGGTATCTGAGACAGGTAACTGAACACAGAACACACTGAATGTCCCACAATCATCACTTCAGGGGAGTGGCACTGACCGTGCTTTCCTTTATGTGCCAAGGCTTGGGTTTGTAGTTTCATGGAGCCCAGTAAGTGGTGGTTCTGCACTCAGTGTTTCAATATGCCCCCCTTCAAAGTCAAATGAGAAACAAATAACACAGAAATTCAAAATAATGACTTTAAAAAGGTCATTAACCTCTAATCTACACTCAAAATCCATTGAAAGACTATAGAGATCTAATAAATAACTGCACAAGATATCATGAGGGCCGAAAACCAAATGGAGGGTTTTTATATTCATTTAAAGATTTTTTGTGGCTTTTGTTTATTTGCTCATGCATACCATTGCTTTACCCATAAGTCATGGTATGGACATAAACATGTGGCATACTCCAAATGGATGTAAAAGTCTGTGGAGGTTAACAATGACTGAATCTGTGTATTCAACATGATACGTTTAATGTAGTCTCTCCAAAGGGTTTATGTCCATGAAGGGACAGAGCTCTGTTATGCAAAAGAGTCGGGTCTTAATTAGGGATGGGAATTTGAAAGCAAATGTATATTCGAATATTCGACCCCCCAAAAAACGGTTAACCGGTTAACCGAAATGTACATATCCTATAAAAAAAAAAATTGGGTAACAAAAAAATGTTCTATTTTTTTTTTTTCAATACATTTTGGAAAAAGATACATACATGTTCAAATAACTGTAGAAACCAAGTCGAATTTGTCAAATGTATTGAATTGGTGATCACAGTTTGACAGCTATAGGCCTACAGCTTTCATGTGCGATTCACAATCAGCCCAGCTGTAGAGAAGACCCTCTCAGCTGGAACGGAGGTTGCGGGTATAGCATGTATAAGTTTAATTTGGCATTGTTTGACCTCTACACCGCACTCACTAACCTGGTTACCTGGTCGAAATATTTCCACACATTACTCCTTTTTGACGCCATGTCTGTTGTGTAGGACTCTTCTTAGAGTGTAAATAATTACCGGACTATGACTGGTAAAATATGTTGAATACCGGCAAAACTAAATCTCTCAAGTCAAAATGTGTATGTACTTTGCAGCCAAGCAGCGCTTATTGTTGTTTAGGCTGNAGGCTGATAACTACAGCTCAGTGAGGTAAAGGACTCTGAGTGTTTAGATAGTGTTTACATAAATTGTGACCAAACCGTTTGAACTTAGACTAAAGTGAACTATCTAAACACTCAGAGTCCTTTACCTCACTGAGCTGTAGTTATCAGCCTCTCAGTCTGACTGGAGAGGACTCTCCCTCCACATTATTTATTCTTATATCCGTTAGAGCAGCTAGCACCAGATTCTAATAACAACAGAGCCGGTACCGGTGCACCCTCCCTCTCTCCCTCGCTCACTCGCACTTTGGCTGTGAGCTGCGGGCGCCAGATAAGCCGACATCCCCCATTTTCATCACTTACAGCGCCCATCATACAGGGCAAATGAAACGTGTAACCCGGGTGAAAAGGGTGTTACATTTACTTAATTATGAATATTGTTACATCAATGCCGAAAATTAGGATGAGCCCCAACGGTCAAAAATGTTTTTTTACCTCCCAGAGCTGTCAGCCCAGCGCCTCCCCGGATCTGGCGCCCTAGGCGAACATCTATAACGCCAGTGCTACGGGCCAGCCCTGAGTTCATACGCAACTCGCAAATATCTTTCTCTCTCTCTCTTTTCTCTTCTCTCCCTTCTCTCTCTTCTCTCTCTCTCAATGTTGGTACACAAATGCGCGTTTTTTCAAATGACCCGGTGCTCTTTTTTTTGGCGGAGGTGCGCATGCGCACCAGTTATGTGCAGCCCTGGTTATGATGCTTGACCCAAACAATGTCAGGTACCATCATTTTGGTGTATGTTTATGTTGAGAAATGTTCAAATTCAACTTACTCTCTGACCTTAAAAGTATGTGTTACAGGTATATACACACCACTCAGTGGGAAAAGGTAGAAACAGAGTTGCAGCTTTAGCCTGGCATGCTAACGGTTTGATACAATTTTCTAAGTCAAGTATAAACTCTAATCTTTCTTTGGGTTTGAGTCTGTACAAACCTCTACAGCGCTCCACCGCATTCATATTTCCTGCATATCTTCTTTAACCTGTATCAACATGATGATGAAATGTTATGAACCAACAGTTGGATTGTCATAAATGTGGTTCATATTCCCATATTCCACTTAGTAAAACGCACCTTGGTGATCCTCTTATTTTTCATCTTGTGAAGCCTGTATATGGCCGTCCTGCTACATCTCCGACAACCCTGTTTAAAAAGCGTAAGCTGATCTGAAGGCTCTCAAATTACTTAAATCTCCCCAAATCATAGAAGGCTCAGGATGAGGAATTTTTTATTTGCACCCCCCCACAGGTCAGAGCTCCCACTAAAATAACAAACATCCTCTCTATCCCTGTTCATATTTTCACTGTCGCTGTGGATTGTGTTTGTCATCATCTAACCTCCATTGTTTTCAGCCCACATTGTGAGGATATACAGGAGCGGGAGATAAACATTGGTTTACAGAATCAAAGGTTTCACTTAGTGATCTGATCTCAACAAAATGACGCTTATCCTTATGCAATACATGTTACATGCTAGACGCTTTTATCCAAAGCGACTTACATACTCAATACTGTGGCCAATTTTGCACTACTAACTACTAAATACTGCTAATGATTGCATTGATTGTGTGACCATCTATGTTTCATGTTGTCTGTAGATGTTTAATTGCTCTTGCACTTTCAGTGTACAGTTTTGCTGTTGTGTTGCTGTGTTTATTGTGTTTATTGTATTTTGTTACTCTGGCACAACAATTTCCTTTGGGATAAATAAAGTCTTATCTTATCTTATCCCCGCAGGAGCAATTTGGGGTGAAGTGTCTCAGGGACAAAACAACATGCTGACTGCGCCACAGCTTCCCTTATGACAAGCTCTGGATGTTAATGCTAACAGAAAGCTTTTTCGACGTATAAATATACAAGTGTAAGGGCAGCAGCCATATATCTCATAGTGTTGGTGTCTACAAAACTAGTAAGAATCTGCGCATGACATTTGCCAAGGGAAGGACAAAACATTTCGGAGCATTTCACTGGTTTGAGTTCTGCAAGAAATGTGTTGGATTTTCTTAAAGCTCACTCTGGTGAAACATCTCTAATCATACACAGTGACCTAACACTCCAGGCTGGAATGTGTGCATAGCTTAACCGCCACATGTTGTGTTGTGCAGGGAAATTAGAAGCATACTTGGTGGTGCTTGTTTTTACATTGGCTATAAAAATACACTTTTTTCAACTCCCTGTTGCTGCTGGCAAGTTGACTCGCTCTAGAAGCATCAAGCGTGAGAGAGAGAAGAGGAGTTGCATCAGTCCTTAAATCTGAGGTTTGGAGAGAAGCAAGCAGAGAATGAACCAACAAAGAAAGGGAAAGACAGGGGGAAAAGATGAGGGGACACAAGATAAGGGAATAACAAAGGAGGACAAATACTTAACAGTTCTAAATTAAGTTGTGTGAAACACTGACATGTGAGAGCTCAGGACACACACTGAAAACACACCCCAGACATGCCCTCCCTGCATCTCCTTTATAAAAAATATTTTTTTTCTTTATTACGTTTTTAAAAATACTGTGTTGCTACAGTGATAATATTGAATCTTTGTGAATCACAGAGTTAAAAAAACATTAATACTTTAGCACAGCCCCCTCCCATCCCTTACAACTCCCCCCCTCACATAATGTGATTACTGCAGAAGAATCTCACATGTAACAACCAACATGATTTATTTATGTAATATAATGAGAATAAATAGGGGTCGTAAAGGCGGACCTTTACTTTGGGGTCGACATGTCCTTTACCAGCGCCAAATTTGGCATCTGTCATAAATAGTGACAAAATAGTTATCTCCTTATGGAAGATTTGTAAAACACTTAGTCATTTATCCTCTTCTATCATTATTCAAACAAAAACTAAAGTAGTTCATCAGTGACTCAAATTTCAACAGTTTTCAGTTCTATGAACGTTGACTGTAAAGGATGCAGCATTTGAACATTTAATCTAAATGAATCGTATTCAATTCCTTATGTTTCTTTATAAAAAATATGCTATATGCCTTGTTCTAGTGATTTGAGAGGAGGGGCCTGTCGGGGGTCCGGCCGGTGAAGCAGAGCAGAAAAAGGAGTCCCTGCAGACGCAAAACACACCACTGTCACTTCAATCATTCCAACAGTGTGAACTTGGCTTCAGTGACCAAAGTCTGACCAGGGGGGTCTCCAGAGAGAGCAGGCTGTGGAGAAGACTGGTGTGGGGGGGGTCTGAGAGGAAGTGTGTGGTGCCTTTGGAGATGCCATTCTCTGAGCAGCTGGTGCCCTGGCAGGATTATGTACAGAAGAGAAGCCACACTGACAGAGAAAGATGGAGGGCACCAAACACCCACACAGCCATGCCCCCCCATCACATTCTCCCTCGCTCGGGGTAAACAGTACAATAAAAACTGAACCAGAGATAGCAGTGATACTCGCGATGATGCCAATGCCCCCCCCCACCATCTGATATTGACTAAACAGCGGCTCCATTGAGAGCAGCTCTCATGGGGCTCCGTGTGAAGGCTCTGTGTAAACGCAAACCGTGGGGGCATTCACCGTAAAATACATTTGAAAATGAGACCTTCTCTTAGTAGATGCAAAAGCACTATATCGATTATAATTTATGAACTTTGTTTTTCCAGAAAGCCATTTTGACCACTGACGTGACTCAAAATCAGATTAGGCTGCAGTAGTTATAAAAACAAAGATAACATTGATGATAAACTACATAACGATAATGACCTCTTTTAAATTCGCAAACTTCTACCATCACTATTCAACATCTGGCCTTATCAAACGGTAGTACATAGGATACAGCAGCAGAGATCCTGCCTTTGACAGCTCTCTACAGATGTAGCACTCCAGATAGGACTCCACCCAGCGGATTCCAACCAAAAACCCAGCGGATCCCAGTGGCTGGGAGATTAAAGCCCTCCCACTATTTCCTGAAAGGGCGTTGCCAAATTTCCCCATTTGTTCAATTTCAGGATTTAACCATGAGATGGCGCTTCATTCACAAATACACAAAGACAACTTGGTGTTGTAGACCTTAGTTTGTTTGCAATGTTTGCAGCTCTGCAGTCGCGTTTGCTGAATACTGTAGCATTTAATCACTTATTTGTTATGGTTTTCACAGGCTACTATAACGAAAAAACATCAATATTTTAGATCAAATAAAGTATATCTAATCTTATTATCTTAATTGTATTTCAATAATACAGATGTAGCGATTAATTTCAGACAGTTTGAAACGCGAGGGCCGTGATTGGTACGTGATCTGCCCTCGCTCAAGGGTTGAAAACGCTCCAGCTTGACTTGAGACCGCCCCTCACGTGTAAGATAAATGTAATTATATGAGCAGCTGCAATGGATCTTGATCCCAGGGGGTGCGTGGGGTTCCACACTGGAGCTCATGTGAAATAAAGTCAGATAAGTCTGGATGACAGCGGAACTTTGTTAAGATCATATGTCCGGATACATACTCTGTGCTAACATAAGAGACACTGTAATCATTTACCAAACATCCCATGTTGTTATTTAACAATAATGTTGTTTAGTCAAAAAACGACAGTGAGGAATGCAGCCCGGGCTCTCGGCAGATTTTTAATCCTAATTTAATCATATCTTCACCACGGATCTTTATGTTTATGTTGCGAATTGACATAAATCACTGACAATATGAATATTACTGTATTAACTTCATTAAAACGTTATTACGTGCCCTAAATCGTAATGTCACTTTAAACAACTATTTTTCTTTAATGGCAGCCTGTCGGCAGATCGCCCACGCGCAGCGAGGATCTTGGTTGCATGACGGGTGTTATTTTCACCATAAGGAAACAATCGCTGCAGAATTTCCCGTGCTTACATGGCCACATTCATCAACAGTATCACGCACATGACTCCCATCATTAATTAAAGCTTTTGATGGATTTAGAAATGTTTTTTCTTGTTTAATAAAATAGTTGTCTATGGCAGGCCTGGAATTTCTCATTTTAGGGGACAAGGCCACTTGGCCTTTTGAGTGTCATTTTTTAAGGGCACAAAGGCCAAAGCCGGGCACCAGGCTATTAAAACAATGATTTAACATACGATATGAAAGTGACTACGATTGTATTGATTTACATCTTTTATATATATTTATTAAGCCATTCAATGGACACCAAATTGCAATTAAACAAATATTTATTAAAACTACACAAGGATTTTAATGAGCACAGACATGTTTGGCTACTGTGAGATGTGCGGTAGTGCTACGTAAGGTGCGTCCTTATTCTGGTCGCACTTGAGATGGAGATGTGACGAGTCAGGGAGATTTGGATTTTGGGGTTTCATTTGACCATAGGGCAATGATATTGGGTCTCCTTTTGTTGGATGCCAGCTGCCACCATCTTGCCACAGGCTTCATCACTTTGATATTCGCAGGGAGCCACTGGGATTTGATGAGGTAGTATGAAATGCTTCAATTGTTGAAGTGTGCAGGCTTACGCCAATTCGGCCTCTGCAGTCTTCTTCAATTACTGAGAACTGCCGTTCAGCTTGAGAGTAGAGACAGGGAAAAACATAAAGACTATTTGTATTAGGTGACAGCAGATTTGGGTAAATTGTTCCCTTCTCCAACAAAGATCTGGCAATAATGGGGAGGCACAGTTTCCACTACGTATTGGTTACGCACAATTGTCGTGTTTGTCTCACCCCGACCCCCTTCCTTCTCGCTTACCTCAGCTTGCAGCCTTTATTGGTCAGGAGGGGCTCGAAGTGTTTACACAAATGATGGATTTCCTCCTCCCCAACTCCTCTACGAAATTTTCGGTTCTGTTTGGAAATTGATGGGATCGAATATTTCGGGCAGCCAGGGTACAGTGTCGGTGGAGAAAGTAAAGGAGAATCTCGTCACCAATGGCCGCAATGATGTTGTAACTAATGTTTTTCTGACAGAAGGGAAGGCTTCGGGGAAATTGGACTTCTGATGTTAATATCATGTATGCAAATCTCAACTGGTGGTTGTGAAGGACTCAAGCACTGGACGGATGATAGGGCCTGTTTCTCTGTTTGTTTGCGTAGCGCGGCCTGGTGCAGCCAGGTCATGCTACGCACACAAGGTCCCCCGCAAGGGGCCACGTTTGATCGCCTTGGAATTCCAGGAGAGTTCGCCAGGTCCAGATAAGAAGATCCTGATACCAGTGGCCATGTGAAGAATAAAACTTTGGTGAGGTCAACTGCCTTAACACTGCCCTTGATCTTTTCTTTGTCTGGTGATGCCTTGAATCCTTCTTTCTGGAGGTGCGGTACAATGCTTTCTGTAGTTTTTTTGTCGCAGACAGGAAACAGGCCCTCCTCCTGGATCTGATCCACCTGGGTCCCACGGGCAGGCTGGGTTTATGAAGTGCTCTCCAGTCCTTCTCCAATGCCCTTTCAGAATCTCCTTTTTGGGAGGAACGACGGGATAGAGCGCGCAGTAATCTTCATGAGGCAGGTCATCAATTTGTTCTAAAAGAAACAGACAAAATACGGAATAACCGTAATGAGGCATTAAGGCATCAAATGTCTAATACTCCAGTACAATCTCGTTATTGTCATTTCTATTTCTCACCCACGACCTATTAGTAGAATTACTCCTCACATACCTGTCACTTGATGTGCTCTTTGGGGCATCCCTCTCATGACATAGCTCTTGTACCTATGGACCGCAATGCAACTGCCTTAAGATCTACAGCATCATTCTTGTGTATGGTAGGAACTCAATTTGTCCTGTGTCTCAAAAAGACTTGCGGCACACTCAGGTGTCTGTTGCTGTCAAGCAGCAGCTCAGATCAATGTTGTTGTCTGCAACTTTTCTTAATGGCCTCAAATATTCCATCAAAATAATTACATGCTGTTGGCTCTGCGATACTTTAAAAATATGGGAACACAAAATAAGAATTAAGAATTAGGGTCTTCTTACTATTAAATAGTGAAAATGTAATTACAATCACCTGACAACTATGTAAAATCAGTTACCATTCTTTCTCTATTGTCCTGCCCTTTTAATTAATTGTAAAGCAAAACAACACATTTTTTACTCTATATAGTAGACTATTTGTTCTCTTATTCTTACCACGTAATACTGATCTCCGGCAAAGAGAAAAAACACTATGCCATCCAAACAACGCATAACAAAATAACCAATAGACCCAACACACGCACTGACACAGAAAGCAATAATTACACAACATAAACAATCACTCATCAATACAATCTCAAACACCGTATCCTTAAAGCAAACAACAAAAAAGTAGTCACAATACGTACATTATCCGTCTCCAATTTCTGGGGCCAAATGTGTGTATTAGATTTCATGCTATATGAAACTTTCCACCTTATCTGGCATAGTTCCTTTGTCTGTGCTGCATCAACATAAGGAGCAGTCTGAAGGTCTCACATGTCAGAGCTTGAAGTTGGTCTCTTGTGGCTGCGCCATGTGCTCAGATGAATATTGCGGGGACTTTGAATG